CTGCTTGATAGTTGGCTTTTAGATCAGTTCTCATTGTATGATGTGAATAGATTGTTCTTCAGAATGAATCAGATTATAACATTTTGTGGAATAGTTGTGGATTCAGATGTTAACTGGCTTCAAGTTTCAAGTGAGCATGCCCTGTAGCAAATAACAGAACATTTCCTCTTTCTTTCTGCTCAATGTCTTTCTCTTTTGTAATGCTACCCCAAGACTATTGTTTTACTTATAAAAATACTTATCTCTTTGTCAATTTTAAATGATCTCCATATTTCATAACTGTAAGAAAATGTAGAAAATCCCGAGTCTCTGTGATTACTTCCTGATTTTTTTAATATACATATTTTAATTCTTCAAGCAAAAAAATATGAACTGGACTGATGAATGTTATATTCTTAAGATTTGTCTATTGAAGCCTGATACTGAAATTTGTTGTGAATAATATATGAAATTGTGCAGTTTAGAAAATTAAATTAGGTTTAGCTTTCAGTTTTATTCAGGGATTATTCCAAGTCTTCATTGTCTAAATTGTTATCTTTTCCCCCTAGTTTCTAGTTTATAATTTGCTCATAGTTGCATCCCTTTGCATTAGCTCTTGAACCAGTATAAAATCTGTGTTTCCCATTAGACTAAATAGTAGCTTGAATTAAATAATTAAATACCAGAAAGTTTGTAGAATTGCAAAAACAATTGTCATAACCATCATTAAGGATGGTGACAGTTATATAGTGAAATCTCAATTTAATAGAATCCCTTTTAGCAAACTGTAATGGACCAAAATAGTCTAGATCAGGGGTGTCAAACTCGCAATGTCACGTGATGTGTCACAACATATTGCAACTTTTTTTCCATTGCTGGTAATGGGGTGGGTGCAGTTTCAGTATGGCGCATCCAGCCCATAGGCCGGCAGTTTGACACCCCTGGTCTAGATGAACAGTTAAATTGACATTAATATAAATAATCTTTGTTGCTATCTACAATGTCTCTAACAAATTATGCACAAATTATGTCGTTTGCATCCATTTACATCTTTATTATGCAAATGATGAAAATCACCAGGAGTGACATAATTTCTACATTTTGCATAATGATGTAGTTATACAAATGACTTAAATTGCCTAAATGAAATAATTTGTGATTTAACAGACACTCAGGAGCAATAAGCAATCTTTCCCCCAATTGATCAGTGTAGTTAAACAGTGTCTGGGTTTCCCAGCCATATTATAAATGCAATAATGTCCTACCTCTTGCAAAATGCTTTTGTGGCATGTCCTGGAGCAGAAGACTACAGCTTTAGCCTTATGAATATTGCTGTATCTCTACTCTATAAGTGGAGGTGCCTTCCATTAATATTTAAAAAAAATCCTTATAATTGTAAAAAACTGGCTTGGGAAAGTTATTAAAGAATAAACGCATATATAATATCTCAGGGAAGATGGTGATATTTTTGAGCTAGTTCCAATTATAATTAAATGGCTTCAATAAAATGTAATTTTGTAATCCTATTTAAGTGAACTTTCAAAATATTAAACTTTACACTATTATGATACTTTAGCCAAAACTATAGTGTTTTCCATTAATTCTGAAATTTAGAAAAATACAGTATAATTCAGGGTGTCAAACTGCCGGCCCATGGGCCAGATGTGTCATGGCAAAACCACACCCACCCCATTGCCGGCAATGGAAAAAAAGTCACGATACATTGCGACATGTCACGTGACATTGTGAGTTTGACACCCCTAGTATAATTGATGTAGTTAAGCTGAAAAAAATGAAAGCTTTGATGCTAAACAAATGGTTAAAGAATTTGTTTTCGTTTACTTTAAAAGATGAAAAAAATGCAGGTAACTAGACTTATGGGTCTAAAAGAAAAGATCTAATGATCTATTCTTAAGACAAAATGTATTCAAAAGACAGTGGAGGCAAATGAGATTGAAATGCTCCAAAATAACAAAATATACAGTATTTCTTAGAATAAGGTCATAGTATGTGGAGGTTATATAGTTATATTAATACTATTTTAAGAAGTCTCCATGCAATGTTACAGAGATAGTTTCTAATGCAACCTTTTCCTCTGCAGTGTGTCCCTAAAATCTCAAGAAGATATTAAGAAAAACTACTGGCTGGAGACACAGATTCTAGCATAAAATTGTTTAATATAGAACAAGAGAAAGTTTTGTGAGGAAATGTTAATCTTTTTGGAAAGATGCAATTTTTTAATAATATGATACAATGTAGACTGAGAACAAATCCATTCATTTGTATACTGTATAAGTACTATCTGATAAGAAAGGAAGAAAATAATGTTTATATATTCATAAATATTAAAATGTGTATGAAAAACAAAAATAAAATATTTCTGATTTTAGTTCATCATTACATGATTCTTCAAGTATATTTTATATTCTATTATTTTATTCTCAGATTTTGATGTGTCCGGAACATGAAATGGAAAAAGTAAATATGTACTGTGAAATATGCAGAAGACCTGTTTGTCACCTTTGTAAATTGGGTGGTACACATGCAAACCATCGAGTGACTACCATGAGCAGTGCCTACAAAACACTCAAGGTGTCTCCCCTCTTTGTTTCTTGGCTGTTTTTTTAAATAAATATTTTATTAATTTTCTATTTTTACAAACAAGTGCTTAATAGACAACGTGTTGACTGGATCCATTAATAATTCCATGGTACATATAAGCTTCTTCAAACTAAATCCAATATTACACCATCCAATACCTCCTCGCTTCTTCCGAAATAAACATTTTTCCACATTAAGCAAATACAATTCTTATTGTTATTAATAAGTATACAGTTGAATATCAGCATTTATTACAGTTTTCTAATAATATCAATGATATCAGTTTAAAATATCTTTTCTAACCAAAACATATCTTAATTGCATTTGCACTCAATATCCATTTATTCAGTCAGTATCCTATTTTCGTTTTTTTTTCAGTTTTAATTTCCCATCCATATTCAAAATATCTCAATTATTTATAGTTTCAAAACAAGTTATATTTGGGTAACCAGAAGCTTCCCTTATTTGAACTTCTTAGCATTTTCTTATTTCCCTTTTCATGCCAAAATATATTCTGATTACCAATCTTATCTATCTAGTTATAATATTTCTATTTCTAGCAATCTATTCTGAACCATATTCAAACATCTAATTGATACTTTAATATCCCCTCTAATAGGTCAAAGCTTCTGTTTTCTTCAGTCTTACTCTAGCTTTCTTCCTTTGCCAACTAACTTTCCAAGTCAGTGCATTTGGATAATCAAATAATTCTTCTTCTATTTTTGTGCATATTATTTGGAGCAAAAGAAGCATTTTAATTAAAGTATTTTTGGAAGAGCTAGCCCATTGATATTCACTAAACAGCCTCCCTCCTCCAATTCTCCACAGTTCTGGTAACAGCTCTATCTTCCATTCCATTGGCTTTCCTTCCTTATCCTCCAGTATGTTCTGAAATCTTGGTTGATAAAATGTCTTTTCCATTTCCAATATTATCATTATGTCTTCTAATTCTTCATTTGTCTGAGTCTGGCCGTTAGTTTTTTCCTTTGGTCCTCCATATTTGGGTCAGCTTTCTCTAGTTTTCCTTCTATTTTCTGGGTTGATAGTTCCTTCTCTGTGGTTATTTTCTGGGTTTGTAGATTTAAATTAGAAAATTGTTCTTTTATTTCCTTTGTGTTATTTTTAATCTCAGCACGAGCTAAGGCAATTGTTTCTTGTATTCATTTCAACTTGGAGAGAATTTCTTTCTGTGATTCATCAGTATTTTCTTGGTGGTATGTCAAATTGAGGCTTCTGGAGACAGACGTTAAGGATGTTTTTTTTACCATTTAGAGCTAAATATGGAACATACATTTTATTTTTTGTAAATGGCCTTTATAGAAATCTGTTTGAAAACTTGGGAAGTTTCAGTTAATTATTATTGGAGCTCCAGATTATCCAACTAATTTATCAATCCTTTCTTAAGCCTCCCCTAAGCAAATATAAGTAAAATTTATTTTTTTCTGTCCAATGAGAAATATATGCTTTCTGTCCAAGGAAAAGAAAGAACCATTAAAAGTTGTTTATCAGTCAAGATTTATAATCCAAAATGTTCCATCATATCAGGCAATAGTGTATATTTCTTCTACAGGAAAATAGTTCCACAATACAGTTCTGAAACAGTATTTGTATTCATAGTTCAGACAGGTCTAGAATAGTTTATTGTCTCTTCCACACAGATAAGCAGCTCCCAAACCTTTTCTTTCTCGGCTGCAATCTTCAAAAGTAAAAGCTTCCAAGACCAGCCAGAGTCTTATCTAAATCTGGGCTTCGAGCCAGATTTCTTTTAGGCATAATAAGTTGTAGTGCCGTAAATTCACCACTAGATGTCATTGATGCCGTTTTCCAGTGTTTTTTTAAATCCAAAACTTATATTGCAGACTTTTCAAGTCTCTTTAAAAAAAAGGTCTTAAAAGCACTTTTAGTCCCCAAATTTCCAAGTCATATATATATGGAATGGGGCAGAAATTCCCTTTCCCTCTCTCGGGGGGGGGGAGTGCTTTGGGCAGTTTTTCAGGAAGAGGTCTTAAAATCATAAAGAGGATCAGGTCTCACCCAGTTTCATCCATGTTGCTGTAATGTTGCTTGTTGGTGCTTATTGTCTTCCGTTGTCAGCTGCTTAGGACTGGCTACGCAAATGTAGCCTGTCATTCCCCGCCAGTTTGGAGGGCTTCCTCGGATCAAACGGAGGGCCGCCACCCCCCCCAGTCAACGATGATCCCTCCTTGCTTGTCACCTCTATGGGGCAATTTTCGATCCTTTCCAGGATCCCCCAGCGAGGTGAAATCGAACATGAAAGACAAAGCCCCATCTTTCTGCATCCGTTCTGCCACGATGTCAAAACCGGAAGCCCGTTTCTTGGCTGGTTTTGTGTTTCTTACTGTTACAGAGAGTAAAGCAGCTGCTTTGTTGAACTGATCCTATGTGCAATATCATGAAATGTCATTAAAATCTGGGGTAATTAGATAGCATTCAGTCTTGTTTTTTACTTGATTCTGACTTATGCCACAATTTTGTGACCAGCAGGCTCAATAATTTTCACCTTCCAAAGTGGGTTATATGTGTAGAATACTAGAAATTTCCTTAGAAATAAAATTGACTTCAACTTTGTTTAAACATCTGTAGTCTAAATCATGTTATAACTTTTAGGCACATTTGTGTATTTCCATCTATAATGCAAGGTCATGACCATAGCTTGCAATTTGTTTAATATCCTTGAAGGAGAACATTTAAATTTAATCTGCATCATTGAATACCTTACATTGACTCATGCCATCTGTTCAAATAGATAAATATTTGATGGGACCAATATCATTTTAAATTAGCTGTTGGAACAGAGACAAAGCATGTAATTTGATAATATATAATATTGGCTAAAGTTGTTTTGGTTTACTGCAGGTTTTAATGGACTTATTCTATACCATATTCTTTTAATAAGCTTTTTAATTTTGTAAGTAAACAAAGAAGCAATTAGAATTAGTGAAACTACAAATGTTTCCATATTAGTGAAAGAATATAGTTACCTTTCTTTAATGTAGCTTTCATATACTTGACATTGGTGCCTACATAGTTTATGCCAAGGCCCATCACATTTCTTTATTCTCATGTCATGACTGAATTATCTGCACTTTTAGTTAACTCTAAAACAATTGCTGGGCTGTAGTTTCAGTAGATAATATAGAACATAGTAGTTTATTGAACCGAACTGTCAATCACAAAACAAAAATATTAATATTCCTTGTATTAACTAACTTCAAGTGCAAAAATAGAACTTTACAATCATTTTTAACCATACAGTATGATTTTTCATAGGAGAAACTTTCACAGGATATACACTACCTCATTAGTAAGGAGAGCCATGTGAAAAACCAAATTACAGAGCTTGGTCTTTTAGTGAAAGAAGCTGAGGTAAGAACTACTTATTTTTGCCATGGGCAAAAAAAAGGCCTACTTTGCGGCTCATTAATAGTACTAGTATTAATGTGAATTTCTACATGAACAATGTTTATTGAATTTTATTGAAACTAAAACATTTCTATCCATTATAATTAGACAGATTTATTTCAAGATCTTGCATATTTTATTAAAAAAAGAAAGAGCTACGGTACATAGTTTCTACTTCTTAAATAGGCTTATGTTGTATTAGAAAATTGCGCTCAGTTACCGTACCTGTGACAGTTGCCTATAAGTGTATTGCTAGCTATTATGACTATCAAATAAAAATATTTGGCTGCTGAGCAGCTAGCATTTAATTTTAGAATGTCTCTTATTTAAAATCAGATCTATCATATTCTACAGCTTGGTAATCTATATAAAATATTCAGAAAATTATGCCACAATCAAGAAGCAGCCAGAGCCACTTCTAGCCCATTTTACCATTTTGTGCAAATTAGAAAAAAAGTAGTATAAGAATGGAGAAAGTGAAGAGTGTAAAGATACTACTGTGAGCTTAGCCTGTTAGGTAAGAAAGCATTCTCTCTGGGACAAGCTGAGTAGCTTATCTTTCCCAGAAAAGGAAGTGCTGCAGACTCCTTGCTCTTTGTCACTCTTTGGTCTTTGGCCCCATGGTCAGCCCTGATTGGAAAAATATTTGCTAAATGCCTGCATACTGAACAGGCATCTCTCACCCTTTCCTCCCCAAAAAATTTTTGTTATGAAAAGGTAGTTTGTTTTAAATTCTCTTTCAGATAGTGAGATTGAAATATCCATAATTTATTATTCTGAAATGCACAGTGAAAATATTTCATTTTTTAAAGAGTTTTGAAAGGCTTCTATTAAAAACATGTTCGTTTAAAAAAAATAGTCTTTTTCTATTTTTTTCTAGCAGTTTTCCACTATTGTGACCTTGAAGCCTAACATTTAATGTAGAGAAATATTCATATGAAGTGTTTCTTCATCCTAATATATTTATCCTAATTGTCACAGATATTCTGGTGTCTAAATTTTTAAGAGCAATTCTTTGTTCACAATTGTAGTTTGCCATTGTTAGTTGCACACGTGTAAAGAATTGGACTGTAAACATGTCTCTGTAACATAGAAAGCAAAGTAACTAAATGTTCTCACTTAAAATTATGTTTTTAAATGTTTTGTTTAAAAACAACTATACTTCAGAATCATAAATGTGAAAAATGTCATTTCCATGTATCAAATACTTTAACTTATAGAAAGAATTCTGATTTTGTATATCACATTAATGTCACTACCTTCAGTGAAATTGTTCTTGAAATTAATCAAAAACATGTTTAAAGTTAATATATTATCCTGTTTTAATTTTTAAAAAAAACAGTGCAATGGTGAAAGAGCAAAGGAGGAAGCTTCTAATAGCTTCGATAAGCTGTTTCGTGTTTTGGAGGACAGGAAAAACACTGCACTTAGAGCTATTGAAACATCAAAAAGTTTAAGAATGGAGAAATTGCATTCTCAAATAGAAGAGTATCATGGACTTCTAGAAAATAACGGCCTAGTGGGATATGCGCAAGAAGTTCTCAAAGAAACAGACCCATCCTGTTTTGTTCAAACAGCAAAGCAGCTTCATGATAGGTATGTAATTTATTTCTTTTCAGAGTAGCTTGAATTGTCCTAATGCTTTGCATGTCTCTTGGGGATTTTCCAATGTCCTTTTGTACTTTTGCAAAGCATTTCTCCAGTTGTACCCACTGGTTTAGGATGCATGCAGTGCAGGGGTAACAGGCACAAAAACTAGAAAATTGCCTTATGTATCTCTAGAAGTATGTTCTGCTGATGCATGTTCTGCTTTGGACCCAAAGATATAATGCAAGATGAGAGCATTCTTTTCCTATCTATTTTAATTATGCATAAGAGAATTTTTAATGGATTACATTTTACCATCTTGAAAATTTTATCCCCAATTTACATGAACTTTAGTTCAGCTGCTAGTGTTAACTAATTTCATTATAATATAGGGATTTTCTTTAGTGAAATAATTATTTTTATTAATTTTCAGCTAGAAGTAATAAAGAATCATGCATTTTAGTATGGTACTTACATGGTACGCATTCATTTTTTCTCTCATATTAAGGCCTTAAAGGTAATTTGTTAGTGTGTGTATAATATTAGTAACCTTTTCTGTCTAGAATTCAGAAAGCTACTGAATCTTTGAAGAGTTTCAGGCCTGCAGCTCAAGCTTCTTTTGAAGACTTTGTTCTTGACATAGAAAAGCAACAGGAAGCTCTTGAAAATATGTGTTTCCATTCAAATGGTAAGTTTATTAAAGGAAGAAACATTAAACCTCTTCCCACCTCAGAGAGGGAGCGAGAGAAACTATATTTGTAAACAGTTTGCTCTTGATACAGTATTCAATATTCTTCAAAAATTGGTTGAATACACAACTTGGTCATCCTCAAATGGGAATTTCTTATAGGAAGAGAAATTGCCTATTTGGAACAAGATATTGCTAACATCTCTGGTAAATCTGAGTTCATATATACTGTTTGAGTGGGTGCAGAATGTGGCAATGGCTAAGAACAGGAAAAATTGAAGAAAGACAGAGGGGTCATTTCTGGCTTCATATTTCTTAAGAAAAATGCATACAAAGCCAGAATTGAGAAGACAGCAACAGACAGCAATTGCTGCCTCCACAAAGAAACTGAAAAAACAGAGGACTAACTAGTTAGGTGCTGCAAGAAAATTGTACAGATTAACTATAAATAGTAGCATGGCAAAGTAGCAACAATGGTGCATTGGAATATCTGCAAGAAATACTATTTGTCTGCAAGCAAAAAACCGGTGGGATCACCAAACAGACAAAATAATAAAAAATGAGGAAGCTAAAGTGCTCTGGGACTTTAGAATTCAAATGGACAAAAACCTGACATATAGCACCCCAAACTTAACAAGTGTTGATAAGAAAGATAGAAAAGTCTAGATAGTGGACATTGCAGTTTTTATTTATTTATCATAGAAGAGAAAGAACTGGAGAAAATTACAAATACAAAGATCTGTAAACAGAAGTAGAATGACTGTGCCAAAAGTAAGCAAGGGTACTACCAATAGTAATAGGTATCTTGGGTACAGTCCCAAACTATCTGGAACACCATTTGAACACCACTGCAATTGATAAAATCACCATCAGTCAATTGCAAAAGGCAGTTTTATGTGGAACATCTTACATCCCATTTTGATACCTTTAACAGCATCAAATAAGAATAGCTGCCTATCTTAAAATGTCAAATCCAGTCTAAACATCTGGCTTGACTGTGGGACCAAGCAAAATATTATAAAGATAATAAAATAAAAAACATAATATAGTACCGTAAAACTAATTTTAACATTGATTATGCCATAATCAATCTACAATGACCATCTGGAAGAGCCAGATATTTTTCAGTCTTCTGGAAGAATGGACAGGTTGATCCTCAGGACAATGAACGGAATGTTCCACTGGAAGGGAACCCTACAGAAAATGCTTGCCCCTATTCGTTATGCCTCTTGGGTAATGGGGTGATGGCAGGTGTTCTCTGGACATCTATGCAGGCAGGCCAAAATTTTGTTTACCCCTGGTGTAATAAAGTTTGTTGCAAGGGAGAAGTTGGTATGTTATGAGCAGCACTATGGTTTGGTGGGGATAATATGTGTGGGTAAGTAACCTCCAAAATGTCTCTCAATTTGTTTCTGGTTATCAAAAATGATGCCCACTTGAGAACTGAACACACCTAAAGTTGGCTGGATATGCAGGATAAAGACAACATCACTTAATTTTATGAATATTTATACATAGAGTAAAATGTATTTTTATATATAAACGTATTTTTCCTTTATCAGTATTTTTATATGTAACATCTTGCATGTTTTATTCAGGGAATGATATACCAGAATTCAGTGAGGAACGGAGCAAAATGTATAACAAAGCTTTGATCTGTTGGGATCATCCACAGAAAATAGGTTCAGCTGATACTTACATACTTGAATATCGCAGGCTTAATAAAGAAGAAGCTAATTCAGCATGGCAAGAAATCGAAGTCTGCAGTAAGAGTGAAATAATTTCTGACCTTGAAACAAACAGTATCTATGCCTTTAGGGTCAGAGGATATAAAGGATCTATCTGTAGCCCATGGAGTAGAGAACTTATCTTACATACACCACCAGCTCCAGGTACAATAAAAATATATATACATGATACTTTTGTCCCTGTTCTCTTGTTGCAGTTAGTGAAACCGAAGAGTCTTAGGTATAAATTTAAACAATCATACTTAATAAGTCTACACACAACTGAATTTAGATGATATTCACAGATTCTCGTCAGTCTTTTAAGTTGCTATAGTGGGATATAAAATGCCATGATATATGTCTTTGTACTGAGTTTATTGAATGTTTAAATCACAATGAAGAAAATATTTTTAGTATCTGTGAATATAAAGTAATACTTGTTTTTAGGGGAAAAGCATCCTATAACAATTTGGATAAAAGCAGAAATTAAATAATCTAGTTACTTGGTTTACTGCCCATTTTCTAATAATGCATCAGAAGAAACATGTTGACAAAAATTATAACTATTTTTGAGATTCCTTAGGAATGGCAGTTACTTTAAAATACTATTCCAAGTATATGCTGTCTGTCTGACATCCATTATCTATCTATCTGTCTGTCTGTCTATATCTATCTATCTATCTATCTATCTATCTATCTATCTATCTATCTATCTATCTATCTATCTATCTATCTATCATCTATCTATCTATCTATCTATCTATCTATCTATCTATCTATCTATCTATCTATCTATCTATCTATCTATCTATCTATCTATCTATCTATCTATCTATCTATCTAATCTATCTAATCTATTGGTAGTCCTCAAATTATAACTGCAATTGGACCAGGATTGCCATTGCTAAACAATGTAGTCATAAAGCGTAACAGCACTGCATTGCTTGGTGACAGCAATCCAGGTAGTTCTGATTATCATCATAACTTAAGATGCACAAGTAGTTAAGCAGGAAACTGAAGAGGTAAGGAATGCAGGGGTGCTGCAATGGGGTAAGGGAGACCTTGGGAGGACTGGCATAGGTTGCAGTGAATTGGGAGGAGGGGGTTTTGGTATGGCACGAGTCAGGCCGGGGAAAGATGATGCATGCGTGCATGTGTGGAAATGCAGAGAGGCTCATGAAAGAGGGTATGAGGTGCATTTGTACAAGTGCAGGGATGCCAGGAAAAATGAGTGTTGGGTACATGTAAATTTGTTTGAGTCCAGGGAGGCCAGAGAAAGAGGACATAAGGTATGTGTGCAATTGCAGGGAGGCCAAGGAAAAAGAGTGTGGTAGTACATGTATGTGCATATGTGCATGCATAGCAGGGAGGCCATGGGTAGAGGGTACAGAGCATGTGTGATTCTAGGGAAGTTGGGAAAGGGGGTTTGGAGTGCATGTAGGTATAGGGAGGCCATGTAAAAAGAGTAGAAGGTGTGTGCAAATGGAGGGGGTGGTACACGCAAATGAAAAAAGATGGAGGGAAGATTCACCCCAGCAACTTGTGACTTTTCTTACCAGTTTCCCACTGACTTTGCTTGGGGGAAGCCAGCAGGGAAGGACACAAATGATAGTCATGTGACTGTGGGATGCTACATCTAGTTGTAAGTGTGAGCTGGTTGCCAGGTACCTGCATTTTGTTCACGTGACCTTGGGAACAGTGCAATAGCCGGAACTTTGAGGATCAACTAAAAGACCCTTCAGCATTATCATAACTTCCCAAGATCACTGAGTGTATTGGCTGTAACTAAAGGCTACCTATATTCTTTAAAACTTTTTGTTGTTCCCTCTAAATAATACTTTTCTGGATTTTATTTTGATTTTATTGTTTATACATGTTAAGCCTCTCAAAGTCATGGAATTGGGTAGTCTAGAAATTTTGGGAGAGAGAGATGTTTATTATCCTCTTCTTTAGGATATTTTCCGAAGCTATAATTCTATTACTGACTGGTTATTCATTTTTAGTTTTCAGTTTTCTTTTGGATGACAAATGTGGCTACAATAGTGAACGTCTTCTGCTAAATGCAAGAAGAAATGTTGTGGAAAGCAGAGCTGGGTTTCCTCTGCTTTTGGAAGCCGAACGTATCCAACAAGGCTGTTACACTGCCCTGGACTACATTGTTGGAGACACTGGTGTTGTGAAAGGAAAGCATTTCTGGGCTTTCCACGTGGAACCCTATTCATATCTTGTGAAAGTAGGAGTTGCATCTGATGCTAAGATCCAAGAATGGTTCCACAATTCCCGTGAATTAAGTAGCCCCAGGTAAGTAATCACTTTCTATTGTTTTCATAGGTTTTATTTTAAATTCTTTGCTGTTGTAATTTAATTTAATAGCTTAGCTTTTATCCATTATTTCAAATACATTAATTGGATGTTAATATGGAAGATAATGTTTTAGATAACGATCTGCATCTATAGAAATACAGAATAAAGAAATTCATGCTCAAGGGAATGTTAGACTGTGTATGTCAAATGGATTCCAACATGCTTTCATTGAACTGAGGGTTCCAAAAGCTGTTTGGTGATCTTTTGATGAGAGAAGTCTGCCATTAAAAAAATAATAACAACAAGAACAGCAACAATAATCATTGAGGGGTACATCCAGGGTCTTAGCCATTACATATCATAATGTTAAGATACTTAAAACTGACACACTTAAGTATATGATTAAAAAAATATGTAGATACTTCCCTCAAGTAAGAGATTTATAATTTTCTATACAGTATGCTGCTGCCACTTGAGTTGAGAGGACAACAAGGAGAAATGCAGTCAGGATTTGGGCTACTGGCTGGTCAGACAAGGAGTAAATCAGGAGGGCTGGGTGGCTGGCTGGGATGGGGAGATTGTGGCTGCTCAGGTGGCTGCTGCCATCGCGAGCAGTTTGGACACAGGTGCAAGGTGATTTACCCCACGATGCTTCCCCGCTCAGTTGAAGGCTTTGTTCCTGCCCTCAAACTTAAGGCCAGCACACGCAAACGAGCAGCGCACCCGGGCCACGGATGGCATTGGTTCCTGCGCCCAGCCGACTCCAACACTTTGCCCCATAGGCAAGCAAACAAAGCAGACACTCCCCCCTAAGAATGGAAGTCTCTGGGGGTCACAATCTCTTTTGAACTCGCACGATATTAAAGCACCCAGGAGCTTTCATTGTCGGTGTGAAAAGCATTTCCAAGCCGACTCTCCTCTCCCTCAAAGGGAAAGAAACTGTAGCAGAGAGGATTTTTGCAAGGTAAATGAGTCCAGTGCGGCAGGGAAGGGGAAGGATAAGGTATCTTAGTGGGTCAGGGAGGCCTTGGGGCCTGTTCCATCACTAGGCCCTCCATGGCCTTTCCCATCCTGAGATACCTCATGTGCACTTAATGAGCCGTGTGCGTCTTAACGAGCAAGGGAGTGATCTCGTTTGAGGTACAAGATTCATTCCCACGAATTTTCAAGTTACGAATGGAATGGGCAGGCTCCATTACATTTGTAACTCGAAGACTACCTGTAGAAAAGAATACATCTAGCTGAAAGAAATGCAAATAGAATACTTCTAAAACTGTAGATTAGAAGTGAGACATGAAATTTAAGTCATATAAAAGGCAATCTGAGAACAAGCTAATCCCAGACAGAAAAAAATATGTCTTTATAAGAATTCTAAGACCAGTGCACGAAGTGTCATTTGCACATGCACTGGACTTAAGGTCGTGTGTGCAAAACCATACCCCCTGCCACCACCCGCTGCTGCCACCGGTCCAAGGAGCCAGAAAGATTGGGGTACCGCTGATCTAAAAGAAGTCAGTTGAGGCAATAAAGTGAAATGATGAAATGATAGGTAGATCTCGAGAACAGTAAAATGTTAGGCTATATGAGGCTTTGTTAAGAATTAGGATTGTGGAAGATTGAAATACTTGTGATATGGATGATATGGATTAGTTACAACAAATACCATATATGAATCTATACCGGTAGTCCTTGACTTATGACCACAATTGAGCCCAAAATTTGCTGAGCAAGAAGTTGCCCCGTTTTATGACCTTTCTTGCTAGGGTTGTTAAGTGGATCATTGCAGTTAAGTTAGTAACACTTTGTTGTTGTTAAATGAATTTGGCTTCTTGGTTGACTTTGCTTATCAGAAGGATGCAAAAGGTGATCACATGACCACGGGACACTGCATTTGTCATAAATATTTGTCAGTTGCCAAGCATCTGAATTTTGATCACATGACCATGGAGATATTGCAACAGTCGTAAGTGTGGAAAAGGGTCATAAGTCACTTTTTCTGGGCCGTTAAACTTTCAGTGGTCACTAAGTGAACTATTGTAAATTGACTTGTATTAGGCAGGGTAGATTAAGAGGATTTGAAGTGCCATACAGACTGCTTGTATTACTGCTGGCGCACACTATCTGAGGTGAGTACTGGATGAGGGTGAATTGGTTCTTATTACAGGATTTTCCCCCCAACAGTTTACACTGAAATAGTGTTGCAGCCAGATTGCCTCCCCAATATGACTGTATTGCAATTCATCTGGAAAAAGCATTTTGATCACTTAAATGTTCTAATAAGTTAGAATCCTTTCCAGAATGTTTGTTGCAAGAAATATTTAATAAAGCAAAAGCAATTTATCTTTAGTTATAATTCTCTGCTACAAGCACATTGTGATATTGTATAGCATTTTTAAAGACAAAATTATATTGTGTGAACATCGTAGTGAAGTCTGAAAAATTCACTGAAAACCTGAGGATTGTGGCATGACTAGTATTTATTTTTCAGATACGAACAAGACAGTGGTCATGACAGTGGGAGTGAAGACATCTTTGCTGAGTCCTTACAGCCTTTCACATTAATAACCATAGGCATGAAAAAAATGTTTATTCCTAAGGCATCATCTGCTTCAGCTGCTCCCAAAGATTGTGTGAACAGAGTTCTTCCCATGCCATCAAACATCGGAATCTGCCTTGACTGTGACAATGGCAACATTGGATTCTACGATGCAGATCGGATGAAGTGTCTTTATGAACGCCCAGTGGAATGCTCTGGTAAAATGTATCCAGCTTTTGCATTAATGGGGAGCTCAGGAATTCATCTAGAAGAAACGATTGCAGCAAAATACCTGCAGTATCAGGATGAAGACATTTAATACCCAAGGACCCACCTTTAGCTTTGTGTCTTAATTACATCATAACTCCAAGTCCATCTGCTGCACCCCCTGCTTTCGAGTCTGTTTTTCTTTTGTTTTTTTAATTGCAGAAAAAAAAAACATCTCTACTAAATGTCTAGTGTCCAGAAAACTCTACCTGAAGATCTCTTTGAATTGTTTTTTGTCATATAGTGACCTTGGATACTCAGATTAGCACCCTCATTGACTTTTATAAACTGGAAACCTGCCAGTCTGTTTAAGTTTAAGTCCTTATTTCTGATATTGCTGCCATTTACATTCCATTTTAAAACAAATGGAAATAGGCTTTTCTTTTTTTGTAACTATAGACTTATTCACTTCAGAAGGAGCTAATTTTGACTATCCTGAGTGGTCAAGTGTCTCAGAAACTGTCTTTGCATCAGAGCAAAGTGCTTTGTGAATCCAAGCTATGAGCGAACTGGTAGTATTTAGGAGATGGATAATGAATCACAGTTACTGTGTCTCACACGGATTTATTGCGATTCATATGATCGATTTTTAAAACGCGTAATCGCAACAGTGATTAAAAGCAGGTTCTTATGTGTGTTTTCAGTATTTTAGGTTATCTCCTATATGCTGTATTTAATATATGTTTAAATAAGTGCAATTTTTCATCAAATCTTGAGGTTAAAACCTCTGCATATGTGATTTCTGTTGAGGGGGGGGGATAAAATGCAGATACAATTTGGATTTTATATTTTTCTTTAAGAAAAAGTTTTGGCACATTTAATTGTTCATAAAATTAAGGCGATCAGTGTGTTTAGAATAAAAGCACTGATAATTAAGTTTGAAACACTTTCATCTTAAGGTATCACCATTAGTCTAAACTTAATAGCTAAAAAGCAATCCATATAAAATTGTCTAAACCTCCATGTAATCTACTTAAGTGTGTAAAAATATTGCTTCATGTTTGTGAAGCTCTGCACTTCAGGTCATAGGGTTTTTAATTTGTTTTACATAAATAGATGTATGTAGTCCACTTTATGTGTTAAATACTGTTTCAAAAAATATCAACTATGCAGTAGTTTTCCAAGATTTGGAAAGCACTAGTTACTCTGAATCAAATAATAATAACCCAAAGCATTAATTTAAGATTTTTTATTTATAATGTGATATTTATTTACAGTGAATTACATTCTGCCTAATGTCAGTTTAATTAATACCATCAATTTAATCTACCCAATGGATTTGAACATTTTTTTTCTGCCTTTACACACTCTGTTTGAATTAAAAATAATAATTAGTGCCGGGAAATAGTAGAATGTTCAGGGCCTCCTGACTGCAAAAAGTGGTGCTTTTCTTTAGTTTAAGGGACCAGGAAACATCTAGCTATATGGTGAACAAAAAATGAAAAAAAAGTTTTATTTTCTGCACTTTACATACAGACTAAGCTAAATGTTATGTGGATTACTCACAGTATAGCTGCTGTAACTAATAAGTTGGTAACCACTCTGTAATTGGTGAACTCTAGGCAAAGGTACATCATGGAGATTGTTTTACAAAATAATTTTTGAAACTTTAATACAACTACCCCTGCCATAAGGCCTTGTTTTGAAGATACTGTGAAGTGGAAATGTAACATGTCTGAAGATTTTCTTCTCTGTTTTTTTTCTAATAAAAATAACAAAATGGCTGTTTCTTCTTATATTTCCACCTGGTTACTACGTTACTGTTATGAGAAAATTGATGTGTTGTGAGGCAGGAATTCAGTTAAAAACCAGTCATTTTATAAAAGCTTTGATTAAATTAGGTTTTGCTTTGCACTGGTATATGGTAAAATTAAATCTTTATTCATTACAGCTTTATGGCTTTACACATTCTTGCATACACGATTAAACGTTCATGCTGCATGCTACAAGTTTACTATCCATAATTTGTGTCCCATCTTATTTTTCAATTAATACTAATAGTGGGGAAAAAAATCAAGGACTTGCAGCTACTAGTAAAATTTTTCTAAAGAAGTTTGGAATTAATTTAATCCAAATTCTGCTTGCAAATCCTTAACAATGCAATACTGTAAGGTCTTCTGTGTATATAGTACTAATTGTAAATGATTCAGTAATTTAGTTTGTTTATGAATAAACATTGTTTAGCTTTTTTAGTTATACACTATCTGCCCATAATTCTTCACTTCTACTTCGATATATCTAAGTCCCTTTACTCTTATAGAGCAGATAATGACTTAAATTTCAGGGTAGCTTCTGTCATATATTCTGAGTCACTTTTGTTATGAATGGGTTGTATAGTGGTAGTCTTCATGATGCCCCCCCCCCCATTTAGGAGGTGCCTACTATAATATCCTTTGGGCGCCTGTTTTCTTCCTGCTGCTAGAATAATAAATATAACTTACTAAGCAAGCCTTCTCTAACCCCTTGTCTCTCATTCTAATTGGTTGGATTTCAATTGTGTTGCCTTGAAATTAACAGTAGTTCCAGTTCAATACTGTATGCTAGATTAAGAACTTTTCCCTAGCCGTTAACCTGTAGTGGTTCTAATATCAACTAGCAATACATGTTGGTTCATTGCTGAATAGCAACACTAGTTAATAGCCTTAAAGTAAAAATCTGCTTTTCTCAGAGTTAACACATTAAAAGTATATTATATATACTAATATTTTGGGCCAGCATTCATCAAAAGCATGTCAATCACCGTAAGACTAATAACAAATAGTACTCAAGTCTGCTAACAAGTGGCTAGAATCACTATGCTGTCCTGTATAGATAACACCTATCACTTATGGCATTCATAACAGAAAAAAACATTAGGCAATGTGCTTTAAATTTGGAGTGCTCTTATAAACTTTGACAATAGCAAGTAAACAGGATAAATGGAAGGTAAAACAATGTTTGTCACCTATTAAAAACAGCAGGAGAAAATATTTGTTGGGTGGGGAATGTGGGCAGTCCCTGAATTAAGAATGAATTCTGCTCCCTAACTCTGTCTTTTAGCCAAATTTGTAAGTTGGAATTTGTTCTTGCAAATGAACTGCCTATTACTAAAAATGGCAGATGCCATTCTTCTTCTTCTAGTCAGTGAGGCGCTATTCATATTGTTGGATGTTCTTGACTCCAGGGACTGCTTAACTGTTGGGTTGAGTGGATCCTTCCAAGATGAGGATTTCCCTTCTGTATCTTGTCTTGGGATCATGACCTGAAAAATCAAATGGTGGGCAGTCTTAATGGAGCATCATAGCACATCTGTCTATAGATCAAAAGCCCTCGTTCTTACAAGAGTACCCTGGATATACATAGATGATGTAATGTTGCCTTATTGTCTCCCTTTTTCCTTGTTATGAGAGAGAGAATTATAGAGATCTGTTTCATTACTAGCTTTATTGAGTTAAGATTTTGTTTTCTAGGAAAATCCCTGGAGAAAATTCAAATGGCTGTCCAAGTTGTAACCACTTAAGATAGCTAAATGTGAATGCTTAGGCCTGCCCTGTGTAGCTTGAAGTTTCTCTATATTCCCCATCAAAGGACTAATCAAGCAGCAATTGACTATGCCAAATTACTGTAATGGAGTATGTTAGTGTAATACAAAACAACCCTATGTAAACACATAGGTATTCCATGCTGAAATTTCTCTAATCTCATACTGATGAATTTCACAAAAGGCAACAGTGCACATTACTAATTCTTCTTTTACACAACTGGCTGATGAACAGATAACTGCAACAGCTATAATCCAGATGTCATTCAAAATGTTTTACATAGCGCAGTTCCTTAGGATAGATTAGTGGCCAACCCAATCGACAGGCAAAGGAAACAAGCTGCAAAGATTTCTGGATATTATCCTATGGCTATTAGTCTGCTAAAGGAATGCTATGTTTCTCTATTAGAGCTTCTTTCTGCAGTCCTTCATATCTGTTCTTCAGAATATTTATTATTTTATTTGGAAAATTTATATTGCTGCCTACTCGCTCACGATGACTCAAGATGGCTTACAGGAAATATACAATATAAAAGAAATAAAAATAATAAAATAACATCCCCATGCCCACCCCGGTGACAACACTCATACCAGCCATTTAATGGGCTCCATCCAGAATAGAAGGAAAGATGAGGCTAGGGTAGGTGAGACTAATAGAAACTGTTTGGGGCAGGAATTAGGGAGACACAGATATAGAACTCTTATTAAACCTCATTTTACTGTTTCAGCAATGAGTCATTTATTCATCACATGCTGTACATTTGTACAAACTGGCATATTCTGACACTTGCAGAGTATTTTTAAAATTAGTATTCACACATTTACTGTCTAGCTTTTCTCCAGGAACTTAAGGCAACATATACAGTAAGCCGGGGGAAGGGATCCTCTATTCCCATAACAGCATCATATCAGGTAGATTGGCTTGAGAAAGAGAGAAGCTCACAGTCAGTCACACACTGAGCTCCATGACTGGTCCTGGATCTGCACCATTCCACTCCTCTGGCTTTTCTAAGGGGTGCTGCATATACCAATTATTCAGAAGAACCACCATGATGGAATTTTTACCAAAGTAAGCACGTATCAATGTAGTTTCAGGGGTATAAAAACTCAGCTTTGCCTAAGCAAACTAGAAATATAGTCCTATCCAATTTTAGAGGATTGCATAGTACTGTTTTTTCAGCTGAAACAAATATTTCAGTTTTTACAATTTGTGGAGTGGGAAGAAAATTCAACACAAATTTTGTAGACATGCTGATCTTCAGTTTTGCCAGTAGATGGTGACTATTGACTGAACAACACTGGACAAAAGGAAATATTTTCATTCCCACCCTTCTCTTCTGCCCAGTAGACTTGCTGTTTCTTCCTTTTTTGATATTTATTGCATTGCAGAATTAGAAATAAAGCAGGAACGCTAAATCCTGTGGAACAAGCCAGATAAAATCTCAACATCTAAAGTTAGGTAACCAAGAAGAAGACAGCAATATTCTACAAAATCTTTGTTAAACATTGCATGAGGAGCATCAACTGTCAGTAGCAAACTATTTTCAAAATGGAACTGTATTTTTTGACCTGAACTCTTCTTACACCATAAAAACTATCGGGCAATTTACATC